TTCTTTTTTACAGCAGCATAGTATTCCATCGTGTAGATGTACCACAGTTTTCTAATCCATTCATCTACTGATGGGCACTTAGGCTGTTTCCAAATCTTAGCTATGGTGAATTGTGCTGCTATGAACATAGGGGTGCATATATCCTTTCTGATTGGTGTTTTTGGTTTCTTGGGATATATTCCTAGAAGTGGGATCACAGGGTCAAATGGGAGTTCCATTTCCAGTTTTTTGAGGAAACTCCATACTGTCTTCCATAGTGGCTGCACCAGTCTGCATTCCCACCAGCAGTGCACAAGTGTTCCTTTTTCTCCACATCCTCTCCAGCACTTGTCGTTTGTTGATTTGTTGATGATAGCCATTCTGACAGGTGTGAGATGGTACCTCATTGTTGTTTTGATTTGCATCTCTCGGATGATTAGCGACTTTGAGCATGTTTTCATATGTCTCTTGGCTTTCTGAATGTCCTCTTTTGAAAGGTGTCTATTTAGGTCCTTTGCCCATTTTTTGATTGGATTGTTTATCTTCCTTTTGTTAAGTTGTATGAGTTCCCTATAAATGTTGGAGATTAGGCCCTTATCAGATATAATGTTGGCAAATATGTTCTCCCATGTAGTGGGCTTTCTTGTTGTTTTGTTGATGGTTTCTTTTGCTGTGCAGAAACTTTTTATTTTGATGTAGTCCCATTTGTTTATTTTCTCTTTAGTTTCCAATGCCCTAGGATCTGTATCGGTGAAGAAATTGCTTCGGCATAGGTCTGAGATTTTGTTGCCTTTGGATTCTTCTAGTATTTTTATGGTTTCCGGTCGTATATTTAAGTCCTTTATCCATTTTGAGTTTATTTTTGTGTATGGTGTAAGTTGGTGGTCTAGTTTCATTTTCTTGCATGTATCTGTCCAATTTTCCCAGCACCATTTATTGAAGAGACTGTCTTGACTCCATTGTATGTTCTTGCCTCCTTTGTCAAATATTAATTGAGCGTATTGGTTGGGGCTGATTTCTGGGCTCTCTATTCTATTCCATTGATCTATATGTCTGTTCTTGTGCCAGTACCAGGCAGTTTTGAGAACAGTGGCTTTGTAATACAGCTTGATATCTGGCATTGAGATCCCACCTACTTTGTTCTTTCTCAGGATCGCTGCAGCTATTCGGGGTCGTTTTTTGTTCCAGATGAATTTTTGGAGAGTTCGTTCTAGATCTTTGAAGTAGGCCATTGGTATTTTAATGGGAAGTGCGTTGAATTTATAGATTGCTTTGGGTAGTATGGACATTTTAATGATGTTGATTCTACCAATCCAAGAACATGGTATGTTCTTCCATCTCTTTATGTCTTCCTCTATCTCTTTTTTCAACGTCCTGTAGTTTTCTGAGTAGAGGTCTTTTACCTCTTTAGTTAAGTTTATTCCTAGGTAGCTTAATTTTTTTGGTGAGATGGTAAATGGGATTGCTTTTTTAGTCTCTCTTTCTGCAAGTTCACTATTGGTGTATAGAAATGCCATAGATTTCTTGGCGTTAATTCTGTATCCTGCTACATTGCCGAATTCTTTTATTAAGTCTAATAGTTTTTTGATGGAGTCTTTAGGGTTTTTTAAGTATAATATCATGTCATCTGCAAATAAGGACAGTTTTACTTCCTCTTTTCCAATTTGGATGCCTTTTATTTCTTCTTCTTGTCTAATTGCAATGGCTAATACTTCCAGTACTATGTCGAACAGGAGTGGTGAGAGTGGGCATCCCTGTCTTGTTCCTGTTTTTAGGGGAAATGGTGTTAGTTTTTGTCCATTGAGTATGATGTTGGCTGTGGGTTTGTCATATATGGCTTTTATTATGTTGAGGTATGATCCTTCTATTCCCACCTTGCTGAGAGTTTTTATCAAAAATGGGTGTTGGATTTTGTCAAATGCTTTTTCTGCATCAATTGATATGACCATGTGGTTTTTTTCTTTCAATTTGTTTATGTGATGTATTACGTTTATTGATTTACGGATGTTGTACCATCCTTGCATTCCTGGGATAAATCCTACTTGGTCATGGTGTATGATCTTTCTGATGTACTGTTGGATCCGATTTGCTAAGATTTTGTTGAGTATTTTGGCATCTATGTTCATGAGGGATATTGGCCTGTAATTCTCTTTCATTGTGTTGTCTTTACCTGGTTTTGGTATTAGGGTGATGCTGGCTTCATAGAATGAGCTTGGAAGTGTTCCTTCCTCTTGGATTTTTTGTAGTAGTCTGAGGAGGATAGGTTTTAGTTCTTCCTTGAATGTTTGGTAAAACTCCCCTGTGAAGCCGTCTGGTCCTGGGCTTTTGTTTGCTGGAAGCTTTCTGATGACTGCTTCAATTTCTTCCATAGTTATTGGCCTGTTGAGATTTTTAGATTATGAGTTTACTTTTATTTTCCTGGTATCGACAAGGACCTCTAGAATATATTGGGGTTTTTTTTTGTTTTGTTTTTTTTGTGGGTTATTTTATTTTATTTTATTGCGGTGACATTACTCAAAATGAACATAGAGGTTTCATGTGTAGATTACTAATTTACAAAATCTGTATATAGAACCCTGTGCCCACCACCCAAAGTCAAAGCTCCTGTCACCCTCATATTAGGATATATTGACTAGAAGAAATGACCACAAACATCCTTTTCTCATTCCTTATCTTGGAATAAAAGGTTTCAACATTTCACAAGTTAGTATAAATTTGTAGTAGATTTTCTTTAGATACTCTTTATCAAATTAAGGAAATTATCTACTTATTCTAGTTTGCTGAGACTTTATTTTGAGTGGGTGTTGAATTTATCAAACAAATTTTCTGTACCTATTTTCTAGGTATGGCAATCTACTTGGGGTTTTTAGGGTGTCTTGAATTCATTGCTTGATATTATTTGTTGATTTTGAAAATTGCTCAGCCATTATTTTCAAATGTAATTTCTGCTTCATTCTTCTTATCTTCTTTCCTTCTGAAAATCCAATTACACATATATTAGACCTCACTAAATTTTCTTTGTCTCCCACTTTGTTTTACATATTTTCCATTCTTTTTTCTCTATGTACTTTATTCTGGGTATTCCTTCTAATCTGTCTTCCAAATCTATTATTTTTCTCTTTATATGTTTCTAATGCATTATTAAAACACATCCATTAAGTTTTTAATTTTTTAGTTCTACATTGTTTTGTCACATAATTATCATGGTATTTTAAAGCCCATAACTATTAATTCCACTATCTGTAGCCTCCATGGGTTGCCTGTTTTTCCTTTCATATATATATATATATTTTTCTCTTGTGTCCTCCTATGCCTGATTACTTAATTGGTTTTTAAAAATTTTAAACCAATTTATTTAGGTATGATTGACTTACAAAAAGCATACATATGCATACATATTCAATGTATACAAGTTGATGAGATTGATGAGCCTAGTTACTTATTTGTAGGTATGTATATATATATACGTGAGCTTTACATTGTATTTGCAAAATTGTGTGTAGAAATTATGAGTGTATAACGTAATGCTATCTTGCTCTGGATATGATTTATGTTTGTTTTTGCCATTCTTTTAGGCTCCAGGATTATCTCAAACTAGTTTAATGATTGAGATGATTCAAAACTGAGTTACAGTTCCTGTGAGAGCCTGTTCTTCTAGTTTGCCCTACTCCTAGGGTAGTGCCATTTGGAATCTTAACCCAATGAAAGGAGGATTGACCTGTGTCCTTCTACTTTAGAAAGCCCTGATACCTACTGTGTCCTCCTAGCCTTATAAGGGCATATGACTTATCAGAGGGCCTGACTCAAATATTTTTTAAATGGACAAATGAGCTTACTATCAGCCAGGTATTATACTACTCACTGAAATACAGATTAAACTTTGTCTAATATGGAACCAATTTTAGAATTACAACTTCTGAATTTAACAAGAGTTTGAATGTAATAATATCATTTTAAGCACTCCATATTTAAGTGATATAACACTTGGATGGATGGAATCTTCAAAATACTTGTTACAAATAACCTACAAATGATCTCTTTTTCTGGACTTCATATGCATTTTCATTTTATTGATTCTTCTGTTAAAATATAATTCATCTTAAATGTCTTCATTTGACATTCTTTTTATCTCATTTATTTAGCAAGCATTTCTTTAAACATCTGCTATATTCCAGAAACCCTCCTAGTTGTTGAGGTTTTAAATATGAATGTCCTTAAGGAGCTTGGGGTCGAGTAGGGAAGTAATGAGGCTGTGAAATAATGGCTGTATAGAAGCTATCTCTAGAGTGCTGGGTGAACAAAGCTAGGAAATGTTAGTCTTGAGGGACAAGTAAGAGTTGGAGAGGTGAATTATTTTCCAGTATGTTAATAATATCCTAACAAGCATTTCAGTTTCTCTGCTAGCTCATCGATACTTTTGTTTCCTTTGGCATGCTTTATGATAAGAATTGGCAAATATTTTTTGTAAAATGCCAGATAGTAAAATTTGAGGTTTTTAAAGGCACAAATTTCTGTCACAAGTACTCTGCCATTTTAGTGCCAGAGCAACAATATAATTCATAAACAAGTAAGCATGGTATGTTCCACTAAAGCTTTAATATGCACATTGGAATTGGAATTTCATACACTACTTTTCATGTGTCACAAAATAGTCTTCTTTTCCTTTTTAACCAATCAATTTAAAAACCATTCTTAACTTGCTGTACAGAAAAGGCAAGGGGCTGGATTTGACCTGTGGGCCATTGTGTGCATCTCCTGTTTAAGGCTATTTATAGTTAGAGATATTTATATGTCCAACTTAAAAAATGTATATACTTTCATCACTAAAGTAACACATGCTTGGTTTAAAAACAAAGGGTTTCATACCCTATAGTAATTGCTTAGAACCGTTAGAAATTGTTTCTCTCTGTATATTAATTTTTATCATAAATGGGATTTCATTATACTTATGGTTTGGCACTTAATCGTGCACTTAATAATTTGGCTTTTTAAAATTGATTTTGTGCTATTGTGATTTTAAGGTGCAAAAGGCAATTGAAGAAGAAAATTGCTGCTTTGGGACTATTGATACCTGGTTGTTACATAAGCTCACAAAAGGTAAAGATGATCTGGTAAATCTATCTCAAGTAACTGAAATTTGACTAATAGAAATGACTTATCTAAAAATAGTAGAAGTTAACTATTTTTTCCCTTCCTATAGCCCAGGCATGTTGCCTTTTGGTTCCCTACTAACTACATGTTATAGTAAAGCTAGATTAATTTCAGATTTGTTGGAAGAGGATGGTCTTTTAAAATTGTGGTTAATCCTCAAATATATGACTGAGGAACAGTCTTAATTTTAAGACTGCTAAAATTTGAGTTTAGTACCAAATCTCCCATTTTGCAACTGGGTATAACTATAGGCGATCACATTGCATCTCTGCACCCCCTTCCTCATCTTTAAACTGGGGGTTATAACATGACAGTGTCTATGAAAGTACTTTTGTAAATTATGAAAGTTCATAAAGATTAAGTGGGAAATTGCTTTGGAGACTTTTCACTGGAAATACATATTTTGGAATGAACTTTCAGGCCAAATAAATGGTCTAGATCAGTGGTTGGCAAACCGCGGCTCGCGAGCCACATGCGGCTCGCGAGCCACATGCGGCTCTTTGGCCCCTTGAGTGTGGCTCTTCCACAAAATACCACGTGCGGGCGCACACGTACAGTGAGATTGAAACTTCGTGCCCATGCGCAGAAGTCGGTTTTCGGCTTGGGTGAGTCTATTTTGAAGAAGTGGCTTTACAAGAAGTGGGGGGTGTCAGTCGGTCGGGTGACGGGAGACGCAGCTCGGGGGAGGTACATTGTTTTGAGGTACGTTCGCTGAGGTTGACCCCTTCCAACTCTCCCTGGGTGGAGTGGGAGGCGGCCTGGTGGGAGGGCCTGGGGGGTGAGTCTCCGGGAGACAGGAGTGGGTGGGAGCACGGCCCGCTCCAGGGGACAGCCTGCACGGCATCAAGGTGGCTGTCATGTGGAATTTAGGAGGGGTCTTGATGGGGTCACGGTGCAACCTCCTGGCAGCGAGACGGAGGGACAGGGCCCGATTGTGGAGGCCTTAGGTCAGTGGTCGGCAAACCGCGGCTTGCGAGCCACATGCGGCTCTTTGGCCCCTTGAGTGTGGCTCTTCCACAAAATACCGACTTCTGCGCATGGGCCATGAAGTTTCAATCGCACTGTACATGCGCGTCCGCACGTGGTATTTTGTGGAAGAGCCACACTCAAGGGGCCAAAGAGCCGCATGTGGCTCGCAAGCCGCGGTTTGCCGACCACTGGTCTAGATTATAAACTAGAGATAAGTGTTTACACTACCTGATAATAAAAGATTATTTTCAATGTAAATTTAGGTTCTGAATTTGCCACGGATTTTTCAAATGCCAGTACCACTGGACTTTTTGACCCATATGAGGTAAAGGGTTTTCTCCCTCCTTGAATCATCACTTTTTGTGTAATTTAATTTGGATTCTGATGATATATTTTTATGTTCAGATGTGTTGGAGCAGCTTTATTACTTCTCTGCTTTCAATACCACTCTCTCTCCTGCCTCCCGTGAGGGATACAAGGTAATAATGAACATTTGACTTAGAAACCAGCAAAATAGTCCTTGAATTCATTTTGCCTTAGTGAGGAAAAAGCATTTGATTTAAAACTAAAAAGTATTTGGTTTACATGTTTGGGGTACTTTATGAACATATGTTATACTAGAGGCCTGGTGCACGGATTTGTGCACTGGTGGGATCCCTTGGCCTAGTCTGCAGGGGTCAGCCCGAAACTGGCTTTCCTACATCCCCCGAGGGGTCCTGGATTGAGAGAGGGCGCAGGCCAGGCCGAGGGACCCCACCGGTGCACGATCAGGGCCAGGGAGGGAACATAGGAGGGCTCCAGGGCATGTTCGGCCTGTCTCACCCAGTCCCGATCGGCTGGACCCCAGCAGCAAGCTAACCTACTGGTCGGAGCATCTGCCTCCTGGTGATCAGTGTGCATCATAGCAACTGTTCCAAGTAGGACACTTAGCATATTAGGCTTTTATTATATAGGACTAGAGGCCTGGTGCACGTGGGTGGGGGAGTCCCTCAGCCCGGCCTGTACCCTCTTGCAATCCGGGACCCCTCAGAGGATGTCCGACTGCCGGTTTAGGCCCAGTCCTGGGGATCGGGCCTAAACCGGCAGTTGGACATCCTTCTCGCAATCTGGGACTACTCGCCCCTAACTGCTTGCCTGCCTGCCTGCTTGCCCCTAACCACTCACCTGCCTGCCTGCTCAGTGAGCGTCATAGCAACTGGTCATTCCAGTCATTCCACCAGAATGGTCACTTAGGCTTTTATATATATAGATAACTTTTTGGCCTATGCTAAAAAACCATTTCCTAAATTTTAAAATTAACATTTCTAGAGTTATAACTTACTTTTAAATCAATTTTATTTGAAGCTTCAATTTTGGATCAGTGGATGAAGAGATATTTGGTGTGCCTATACCAATAATGGCCTTGGTAAGTTGAAAATTTGAGGTTTTCTCCTTGTATAGTATAAAGTAAATGAATATATATGAATAGTTGGGATTAGATATGAGATAAAAAAGATCCTTGCGATTAAAATTAAAGCATCTTTTTTATTTTCTTTATACCTTGTATATAATCAAAAGTATTTTCTCTATTCTGGAAAGAGGACTGCTAAACACTTCACAGCCTTTTCTGACTTCTCTATATATTATTTTTTAGGAAACTGTTACATTTTTAAAAAATATTATATTCTGAGTAATATTGGTTTATATTTGATATTCTGAGATATAACAACAATAATAGGGCCAATGCTTAGTTTATATTCAAGACAGTGTAACCATAAACAATGATATGGCACTTAAAGAAGTTGTATTTACATTTTATAAGTCTTTAGCCAGCATCTGCCAGTAGAGAAACTCATGGGAGAATGAAAAATTAGCTGTTACTGGTGTTTGAAGGTTCTTTCTTGATTCTACTTTCTCTCTGGATGAGTGATTCATAACTTGGAGAATCCCAAAGATTTACTACCTGATTGAGAGGCTGTCTATATCTTGCCTTTGATTTCCTGTAATGGCTTAAGCAAGAAGTATAGACCATGTCCGTAGATGGACAGTCACCACAGTAGGTAGAGGAAACGAGGGAAGGGGAATATAATGCCCAAGTTATAAATTCCTTTCATTTACAGCGGATCAGTATTATTCAATCTAGGGGTAGGCTCAGGTTTAGATTTAGGTATGGCTGGGAAAACTATAGGATTAGTAAGAAAGTGTTCGTCAGATTAATTTTGCTGTATATGTAGCTACATTTAACTATATTAACAGAATGTTATACTTTTTCTTTTATCAAAAATGTGTCATTGGAAGAAGTATGGTATTGAGTTACATCTATTTCTAGTTAAACATACACCTGTCACTTTTGCTAAAAGAAATGTGTGAGGTCAATTATTTTGAGTGAAACTGCTTATAAGATATAAACAAAATATCCTGGGGGGTTTTCTTGCACAATTTTTATTCTGACTTTTATTTCTAAGGTTATTCCTATGGTACTTAAAACCCATGAAGTAGGTTGCTGAGTAAAAATTGCTAAGGCCTACTAGTTCTCTGCCCAGAGTTAATCCTAGAGATTCTTAACCTATAGTTATTGCTCCCTGTTCTCTCCAAACTTTTTTTTTCAAGGAAAAGGAAAAAAGAGAAGATGCTGAACCATGAGAATACATTCAGTGAGCCAGTGGGATGCAGTGAAATGAGCCACAGCTAGGGTTCCAAGGTCTCTGTTTGAATTTTTGGCAGGTGGCCGACCAGCAGGCAGCCATGTTTGGAGAGTGCTGCTTCCAGATGGGAGACGTGAAACTGACCATGGGGACTGGGACATTTCTGGACATCAATACTGGAAGTAACCCTCAACAGAATGTTGGAGGTAAATAGTTAGAATTTATCCTATTGATTAATAAAATGCCACTTTTTGAAAATTTAACTTTTATGATAGTATTTACTCATTTTATATTAAGGATATTATCTAACATACTTTAAATTATTATTCTTAGAGACAGTCAGTCCCCATTTTCCTTTATCTTTAAATTAAAAGCATGAAAAATGAGAGAGATGTTATAGAAAAATTAAGACGGATTAGGGTATTTTGGTTAGCTTTCTAAAAGTTTACTTATAATATGTGTTTAATACATCTTTCTAAACCTCTAAAGTATTGTTTATGTGTGAGAAATAATTTTAATTTTGTGAATTTTTTTGAGATGGTTGTTCTCAACTAGTGATCCTTGCATATGAATGGCAATTACTGAGATTTTTTTTCTCCCTAATGGGAAAAATCTTGGGATGTATAAATTAAGAAATTTCAGTTGTGTAACTATACCCAGAATGGCTGGGGGCTCTTAGTCTGACCTCTAGTGCCCTAACATGGTTACTAAAAGGTGGATTTGAAAATCTTTTTCCTACCTTCCATCCCCACTAAATCTGTTCCTTTTCCCCTAACTGGGAAAATAGAAGCTACAAAATGTTTATCATTGCATGAGGTTGTTTTACCTTAGGAGCTTTGTTTAGAAACCACAGATAAATGCAATAGACAAGACGGTTCTCAGCTAACTAATCCTATATAATAAAAGCCTAATATGCTAAGTGTTCAATCGTCCGTTCAACCAATCAAAGCATAATATGCTAATGATATGCTAAGGCCGTTCAACTGCTCACTATGATGTGCACTGACCACCAGGGGGCAGACGCTCCAACTGGTAGGTTAGCTTGCTGCTGGGGTCTGGCCAAGCAGGGCTGAGCGAGATGGGCCGGATATGCCCTGGAGCCCTCCCACGGTCCCTCCCTGGCCCCAGTCATGCACTGGTGGGGTCCCTCGGCCTGGCCTGCACCCTTTCACAATCTGGGACCCCTTGGGGGATGTCGGAGAGCTGGTTTTGGCCCGATCCCACAGGCCAGGCCAAGGGACCCCACTGGTGCATGAATTCAAGCACTGGGCCTCTAGTTTCATAATAACCTTTTATTTCTCAATTCAAATATTATTTCTGTGTTTCCAGAGACATTGATGTACAAAGCTAATAAAAGCTAATATTTATAATGTGCCAGGCATTGTGCTAAGTTCTCTTTATGTATTAACTCAGTTTATGCTCACAAGAGCTCTCTGAGGTAGACCATTTTAGTTGAGGAAACTGATGCTAAGAGGTTAGAAACTTTTTTTAAAATATATTTTTATTCTTTTCAGATAGTAAGGGAGAGGGAGAGAGAGAGAAACATCAATGATGAGAGAGAATCGCCGATCGGCTGCCTCCTGCACACCCCCACAGGGGATTGAGTCTGCAACCCAGGCATGTGCCCTTGACTGGAATCGAACCTGCCTACTCATCAGTCTGCAGGCTGATACTCTATCCACTGACCCAAACCGGCCAGGGCAGTTAGAACCTTTTAAGACCACAGCTAGTAAAGGAGGAAAGACTGGGATTTGACCCCAGCCATTCTGACTTCAGAACCACTTTGCTAGTTTATTAGTTAATCAAAATTTTCTATTGTAGATGTCTGCAATGAATTATCCATTTACGATATGAATTACATTGTTTGTTTTTAAGGCTTTTATCCGTTGATTGGGTGGAAGATTGGACAAGAGGTTGTATGCATAGCTGAAGGCAATGCAGGAGACACTGGTACTGCCATAAAATGGGCTCAGCAATTAGGTAAGTTATCCTTTACACAGATTTCACAGGCCAGACTTAAAGAAGTTAAGAATGCCACAGGATCGCAGATCAGTAGGAAATGATGGCTTGTTCAAATGAAACATAAAGTAATATGACATGTGCTAGAAGAAAATATAGGATGTTATTTTTATGGTATTAGGATGGTAAAAGCCTAGGTGTTAAGGCCAGATGCCATAAAGATAACAATAAATTTATGCATATAAAATGTTAGAATGTGTACGGAGAGAGTTGCCATAAAGCAAAACTAAAAGACATATTGGTGAGAACAATTTGTAGCATATGTCAGAAAAATTAAAAAGATGATAAAAAATTGACAAATCAAATGACTAAAAGTGTTCAAATTCAATAATGAAAGAAATACACATTTAAAAAATTATGTCACCTCTCATTATCAGAGATTAATTAGTTTGATATGCTCAGCATTGGTGGGAATGTAGAGACAATAATATTATTTTTTCCATTGGGATGAATGTTAATTATTAGTATGGCCTTGCCAAGCTAGTGTGGCTCAGTGGTTGAGTGTCAACCTATGAACCAGGAGGTCATGGTTCAATTCCCCATCAGGGCACATGCCTGGTTTTCGGGCTTGATCCCCAGTAGGAGGCATGCAGGAGGCAGCCCATCAGTGATTCTTTCATCATTGATGTTTCTATCCCTCTCTCCCTCTCCCTTCCTCTCTGAAATCAATCCTATAAAATAAAGAGGCAATATGCAAATTGACCATCACTCCAACACACAAGATGGCCTCCCCCATGTGGACACAAGATGGCTGGCAGGGGAGGGCAGATGTGGGTGATCAGGCCAGTAGGGGAGGGCAGTTGGGAGGGACCAGGCCTGCAAGGGGTGGCAGTTGGGGGCGATCAGTTAGGGGTGACTGGGCCAGCAGGGGAGGGCAGTTGGGGGCAATCAGGCCAGCAGGGGAGCAGTTAGGCGTCGATCCGGCTGGCAGGGGAGTGTTTAGGGGGTGATCAGGCTGGCAGGCAGAAGCAGTTAGGGGCAATCAGGCAGACAGACAGGCAAGTGGTTGGGAGCCAGCAGTCTTGGATTGTGAGAGGGATGTCCCAGATTAGAGAGGGTGCAGGCTGGGCTGAGGGACGCACATACCACCCCCCCATGCACGAATTTCATGCACCAGGCCACTAGTAAAAGTATATTTTTAAAAAATTACTATGGCCTTTCTGGAGGACCATCAGGCAGTATGATTGAATGCAGACCCTTTACCAGGCCTGTAGGAGAGGACAGTTTGGGGGGACCCAGACCTGCAGGGGAGAGCAGTTAGGGGCAACCAGGCCAGCAGGGGAGGGCAGTTGGGGCAGACCAGGCCTGCAGGGGAGGGAAGTTGGGAGCGACCAGGCCTGCAGGGGAGGGCAGTTATATTTTTTGTTTTATTTTTTGTTTTCTATAGAAATAGACAGGTGTGCAAAGATGTATGCATACATGGGTGTTTAATGCAGCAATTGGAAATAAGTTCCTATCTATACTAATAAAAGGGTAATATGCTAATTAGACCAGTTCAACCGGACATCTTCTGGATGTCCAACTTCCTTCCGGAAAGTTAGGGGGTGACCAGGCCAGCAGGGGGGCAATTAGGGGGCGACCAGGCCAGCCGGGGGGCAGTTAGGGGGTATCCAGGCCAGCAGGGGGGCAGTTTGGGGGCATCCAGGCTGGCAGGGGGTCAGTTAGGGGGTGACCAGGCTGGCTGGGGGGCAGTTAGGGGGCATCCAGGCTGGCAGGGGAGCAGTTAGGGGGTGATCAGGCAGGCAGGCAGGCAAGTGATTAGGAGCCAGTGGTCCCAGATTGCGAGAGGGATGTCCGACTGCCAGTTTAGGCCCGATCCTGCAGTGATTCAGACATCCCCTGAGGGGTTCTGGATTGGAGAGGGTGCAGGCCAGGCTGAGGGATCCCCTCCCATGCACGAATTTCATGCACTGGGCCTCTAGTCTAATAATAAAGCACTAGATAAGTAAATATCAGTATATCAATATAGTAGAACATTGTACACTCACACATAACAGTATAGTTGCATATCTTATTGAAATGGAATAAGGTGTCTATATCTATTATACTGCAAAGAGGGGATGAAGCAGTTGCCTGTGTAAATATTTTTGCTTATTTAAAAACTAGCTTTATTGAGATATAATTCACATACCATATAACTCACTTATTTAAAGTATACAATCAATTTTTTTAGTATTTTCACAGCTTTATCACAATCTCATTTCAGAACATTTTTGTTCCCCCTATACCCATTAGTAGTGATACCCTGTCCCACCTCCCATTCCTAAGCTACCATTAAGCTACTTTGTATCTCTATAGATTTGCCTGTTTTGGACATTTCATGGGGTTAGAATCATATAACATAAGGTCTTTGTAACTGGTTTCTTTCAGCACAGTCTTTTCAAGGGTCACCTATGTTGTAGCATGTGTCAATTCTTCATTTCTTTTTATTGCCGAATAATATTCCATTGTGTGGATGTGTCGCAGTTTATCAGTTGATGGACATTTGGGTTGTTTCCTCCTTGTGGCTATCATGAATACTGAACAGCCTGCATATTACATAACCATATTTCATGCATAAGGTGTGAAATGTTATATACCAAAGTATTAGCGGTGATTATCTCTGATAATTAAATTATAGAGCAGGCTCTGACTCTCTGCTCTTTTCAACTAAGCTGATATGTTTAAAGACAAAGATAATTCTGTTGGCAGAAAACATACACTCTAGGAGGGAAATGCCAATCCATTTATTCATTTCTTCCTTTTTTCTATTTGTCTATAAGCCTTCACCTACATCGTAAATATAAGATTACTTATTAACAAAAAATATTTATTTCAGAGCTTTTTATTACTTAACTCTTCTCCTTAAATGTACTTCTTATAATTTTTTGGACATGTATCTTTAGATAACTTCAGATTATAGAAACTATAGGTTATATATGTCTTCTTTTTTAGTTATACCTTTTAATTTTATTGCTTTCCAGAAGATGCAAAGAAAAAGTAGAATAATTTCACATTCGTCATTAAGAAAAAATCATCATCAAGTTGCATATGACATCATGTGCATGAGTCAGTGGGAATCATTTCACTGCTTATTGAGGTTGAGGGTCATCCATTGTAGTTCTCAAATGATTAGCACTCTTTTCTGGGAGATGGAGCTAAAATGCCTTGACTTATCAAAGTGATGTGACTTCTGGTAGAGGCATGATGCCCTTCTGAAGGCTAATCCCATCTCTGCAGGAAAACAGAACTGTTGGTCTAACTGGAGGGAGAGAGAATTCAGAGTTGAATTATTTACTTTAAAATTTCAATGATTGGCATAGCTAAATATTATTGGTATGTATCTGTCTGAAATACAAAAAGCCAACATTTACTTGACTATATGTCTTTCTAGTCTGAGCATTCACTTTAATGGGTATATCGACAAACATAACTATACTAGAGGCCCAGTGCATGAAAATTCATGCACTGGAGGGGGCGGGTCCCTCAGCCCAGCCTGCCCCCTCTCACAGTCCGGGGGGGGAGGCGACCCGGCGATCAGGGGAAGGCGATGCCCTCAGGGTTTGGAGGCGACCTGGCGATCAAGGGAAAGTGACGCCCCCATCACACCTCTGCTGCTGCCACTGCCGGCAGCGCAAACCTCGGCCAGCCCTGGTTACCTGAGCCTCAGGTGGCCCTGGGCAGCTGGGCAGCCTCCATTTGAGGCTTGCCTCTGCCACAGGCCAGCCCTGGGCAGCTGGGCGGCTGGGGGTCTGAGGGCCTCTGGAGGCAGGCGGGCTGAGGGGATTGGGCGCCGCCATCTTGTGGCTGTGGGCACCGCCATCTTTGAGGGTGGGGCAGTCAATTAGCATATTACCTCCTTATTGGCTGTGGGTGCCGCCATCTTTGCAATGGTGTGAGGGTCAATTAGCATATTCCCTCTTTATTAGATAGGATTACATTCAGGAGAAACACAGGATATACTAATAAGAGCTTAAATAACCCTGTCATTTCCTTGAAGACATGCAGTCTGAACCTTCATATCCTTGTGTGATAAGCTGAGCTTGTTCCACTTTGAGTGTGGCTTCCTTTCATGTCTTTGCTGGGTGGTACAACTCAGGCTCAGGCATAGATGCTGTTTTAAACTAGAAAAATATTATTTTCTTAATCGTTTTTACACAGGCCAGTTCTCTCTCATCTTTTTTTTTTTCCCTTTAGTGTCCTATGTTAACTGCCATATTTGGGTCCCTACATGTTCATCTTTTCTCTTTTTAATTTGGTCCATTTCTGTTCCTCATCACTCTTTGTTCTATTTTGCTGTCATAATCTTATAAATATTTTTATGTCTGAAACCATACATGCTAGGATACCAGTGAAGAAGACAGGTACTGCTGTCTTCATGGAGGATATAGTCTAGCAAGAAGCACACATATTAAATGAACAATTGGAAAAAAAAAACAAACCAAAACAAAAACCATTAGTGTTAAGTACCAGGAAGGACAAGTAGTTATGGAGTCAGTGATGTCTTTCTAAAGAAAAGACTTATTCTGACTGGAGAATCAGAATATTTCTTTCTTTTTTCTTTTTTCTCTTATTTACTTAATTGGGGTGACACTGCTTGACAAAATTATACAGGTTTTAAGTGCACAATTCTACAACATATCATCTGTACACTGTATTGTGCATTCACCACCCCAAGTCAAGTATCCATCTATCACCATGTATCCCCTGTACTCTCCTCCACCTCCTCTTCCCCCTAGCAGTCACCACACTGTTCTCCATGTCCATGAGGTGTTTATTTTTTTTGTTCAATCCCTCCACCCCTGCCACCCAGCCTCACCCCACCCCAACAGCTGTCAGCCTGCTCTCTGTCTCTGAGTCTCTCTATTTTGCTTGTTAGTTCATTTTGTTCGTTAGAGTCCACATATGAGTGAATACATAAGGTACTTGTCTTTCTCTCACTGGCTTCTTTCACTTAACATAATGCTCTCCAGGTTCATTGA